AAAAATTTTAATGGTATAATCATTTTTATGAAAGTTATAAGCAATCGAATTAGTTGCCAAGTGTTGTTTCTCCAGTATGACACGGGATAGAAATAATATGTCATATTAAATATTATATTGAACTACACATTTTTAATTATTATATATATTGTAATATATGTATATATCAGGCACAATTATCTCTCGATTTATCACTTTCCGCGTGACTTGGTTTTTAAAAGAGAGAGTACGATTGGAAACAAAAATTACATATCGCCCGTGGCTTTTGAAAATCTGCTATCCCGTGCAATTTACGTCGCGTAAACTTGTCTGAAGAGATCGCGAGGCAAGTGCATTTGCGTTAAACAAAAAATTATAAGACACTTTTTTGCGAACCTTATCATTTTATGTCAATATTTCGTTAATTTACTTTGGTGGCTGTACTATGAAATATGTTATTAATTTGTAATGTTACTTTCTATTACACGTTTTACATTAAAATCGCTTCTTTATCACCAATATAAATATCGGTTTTGATATACCCTCTAATTTTGATATCCAATTCGCGCGTTCGAGGTAATGTATTTATGATGCATGATTTATGTTTACGAATGTAATAGTACGTTCGCCACTCTCATGGTAACTCCATTACTTAATTGCTTCTTCGAATCGACGAGTAATACATGCAGCATGGGATTCCCTGACGGCTTTAATTCCAGCGTCAAAATATCCATCATGTAGTCTGTGACACATACTAATTTGGCGTAATCAAGATTGCCTTTCGCGATTAATTAACCGTCATAAGTCTCACTTCCCGTTCACTTTCCCGCGGTACAGAGGTGTAGATAGGCTTAAGTAGCGTTGCGAACGACTATGTCGTGCGCATACAAGTTAATTTAATTAAGAATAATGTTAATAAGTGAACTCGTGTATCGATAGTGAAATTCCACGTCTTTAGCGGCGTGAAATTGGTCGCGGCTTTGAAGCTTTAAGATGTCTTTACATAGGAGATCAACAGTTAAAGCATGCGCGGTAATATTCTCTACAACTTTCAAAGTGAATTGTCACTCTGAAGAATGAAATCTCGCTCTTAAAGATTAAAAATTGAACCACTTTTTTTCGGCTCAATTTTCACTCTTTAAAATGAGATTCCACTCCAAATAATTTAGAGAGTGCGTTTAACGATTTTACTGAAATACGCTGGATTCAATATTGATGGTGAAATCTTGTAGTTTAATTATATAACGTAAATATAAATTTTTCAGTATTATATGTTGGAACAGTGTATATCGAAATGTAATCTCTCTTAATTTATCATTTAGCATCAAAAGCGGAAATCAAGATTCAGAATTGTGCGTAATAATTTTCTGCGCAGATACTCGATGCTTGAC